CAACCTCCATGCGCTGAAAGCGACCCTTTAAGACATGGGATGCAGAATGAAATTAAAACTATGACCCAGTCAACATTCCTGGTTGCAAACACAAGTCAATGCTAGTTGACTTACATGCACAAATATATTTTTGCAGGTATATAGACCACCCCACAGAATCAATAGGAAGCCTGAAGAATGAAGTTAGAGCTAGCACAGATGAATCTGATGCATGGTCAAGATCCTGCCATCAAGAACAGTCTGAGTAGGACACTATTACTGGACACTTGCCACCATGCTGCAGGATTCTGTTGCCCTTGGTCTGCTCGCCATTGACCTTTCAACTCTACAATGGCCACTTCAAGTCATTTCTCACTGAACTTTTGTCATTGTGTCACTCCTTAAACATACTGCCAGTCCATGGGGTAGAAATATTTGCCTGCCTTTTGGGTTCATAGACACTGCTTTCTTCCCATTTGGGGGGCCAGGGAGGGGGGGGTTGGTGAAAAGTTCCAATTTTGTTTCTAAAAAAATTAACCTTCGTGCAAACTGTGAAGAAATGGAAGTAGAATCAAACTGACTAACTTTACTATATAGAAAAAGGTTCGTTCAATTTTTTTCAATTTTCTGAATATGGTTTTTATTAATTAATCATTAGCCACTGATTTATAACATAAATTGTATAATTATAATTAGTTATAATTGCATATAATTGTTCATGAAGTTAAATTCATAATTTATAATTGCCTTGGTTAAGCTAATCTTTGATGCTATTGAAATCTCTGAATGAAGTCTGGAGCCGCACTGCTTGGTGCGCGCCTGCCACCTAGTGGCTAGACACGTTAATGCCATCATGGAGATCCTACAGGGCTTGAAAAGCCAGCTTCCCCGTAGACAGTTTTTCCCGCTTTACAATTTTCCCAGTGTGTTGACCCAATCAACCATACATTTCTTAAGCCTTTAGAATTATCTTCCATTACATTCAATAACATTTCATGTTAATTGCAAACTATAGATCTCTGAGATCCCAAGTGTATCTTAGTATCACCTGAAACCACATTCCCTAAACTAGTTTCCCGTTCTAAGACAGCTTTTATTTTATGTGTGTCCAGAAACAATATGTGGTTTGGGCATGCCACTATTCTCCTACAGAGAATATTTTGGCCACTATTATAAAAGTGCAAATTAACACTAGAGTCATGGATGTCATGGATTGCTGACTTCTAAAAGGATTTTTTTTTTCAAAAACTGGTAAGTTTACTTTAAGAAAACATGAAAAGAGGATTATCAGTATTTTTGCAGACCACTCGAGGAAGGATAGGTGAATCGTAAGTCAAAGAATACATCCAGATCTCAACTTCATTCCTTTCTGTCCTTGTGTATTTGTCACGTACTATACCCTAATAGCAAAATCAATATAATCAATTTCTCACATAGCTGAGAGTAATAAAATTGACCTTACACTTCAAAGATGCAATGGTTCCCTCTAAGAACACTTTTAAAAGGAAAGAGAAACTATCAAGCAAGTGACCTAATAAAAGTTCTGGTAGGCGGTTTGGCTGAAAAGATGAGAGTAGAGGCAGCATGAATGGACGTCCTAGAGACAGGCTGGGTCCATGGCTCCCCAGGCTTGGTTGCCATGTTATTCCTGATTCACACTATGAATGGAAGTAAGTAAAAATTTTAATTTGGATCTGGAAGAAGGAAGAAGATTTGGAGTATTAACCATAATAGCAGAATAGATTTGAGATTTGGGGACTAAAGAATCTGGGGGAGCGGTTCAAATCTTAACTGGAGAGAGAAGAGAAAAATCAAGTTTCCTTCGTGGGAAGAGGGTCTGATAACGGGTTTTGAAAGTTTGGAGGTGAATGACTTTGATAAGCTCCTGAGTGGGCGGAGCTTCCAGGTAGAGGCCTGGTAATGACAGAATTACTGTTCTTAGGGTCTGGGTAAGCCAGGTAAGGGGGCCTTTCTCCTCTTCTTGTATGCCCCCTTTGGCCTCCTGCCTGCCTGGCCATCCCCTTTCCGTTAGTGTTGCCCTCTCCCTCTTTAGCTGCAGCCGATTCTTTTTTTCATAAATGGCCATAGCAGTTTTATCAAAATTATTACATGAAATTCACAATTTGATGTAATTATTGAGTACCTAAAATTTGTGAGAACCTGCTGTATTCCTAGCTAAAGAGTAAGTCTTGGGGCACCTGGGTGGCTCAGTTGGTTAAGCCTCCGACTCTTGGTTTGGGCTCAGGTCATGATCTCAGGGTCCTGAGATCAAGCCCCACTTTGGGCTCAGAGTTGGGGCATGAAGCCTGCTTGGGATTCTCTCTCTCCCTCTCCTTCTCGCCCATGCCTCCCCTATCTCTTCTCCTTATGCACATGCTCTCTCTCCTCTCTCTCTAAAAAAAAAAAAAGACTAAGTCTCTAGTGAAGTTTCTTCTTAATTGTCTGTGACCTTCAAATTGTTTTCCTGTTGATGCACAGCCTTAAATAAGGCAAAGAAAAAATCAAAGGCTTTCTATTCTAAAATTAAAGTTATACCTCCACTCTCATCGGAGCCTAATATCTAGAGATTGGCTACTCACCAAAGAGCTTACATTTGTGCATGCTTGCTTATGCCTGCCTAATTAGAGCCTATGCAGAGATAAGTCTTGTCATTTTGCAGCTTTGGAGATGATTATTCCTGAGTTAGACTTTTTTTTTTTTTTTTTTCAAGATAAGAGTGATACCCTTGAAGAACTCAATCACGGTAGTACTCTTAAAATGGCTAAAAATAGGTTGTAATTATTCCACAAATATTTATTATAAATGTGAACACTTAACATTTTAGATAAGTAATAACAATGTAGCCTCCTTCGAAGAAGTTACACCTGCATATTCTTCCAAAATGATCAAAGATGTGGCAAACTGTATAATGCTACTCCATTTCAGACCAAAGACCTTGGTAAGACCGTCAGAAGAGGGGCAGCATCTACTCCCTACACAGGCACACTTTGCACTTTATTCCACTGCCTCCAGAATGGGAAGTGCGGCTTTAGTTTTCGTACTTTAGTAGTCGTCAGTGACTTTCCATCACAGATTTGCTAGTCTTTGTGGGAGTATTTCAGTCCCGGCAGGGAGTTTTATTTCTTGTTTTTAGATTCTTCTGGTTGGGAGCATAAGGTTGATATTCATGGAAAAGTTGAGGATTCCAGGGAAGTTGTGTTTTTATACTAATCTACCCTACAGGATATCAAATAAAGAGTATAAAGTTCTGCACCAAAATAAAATGATTCACTGGGACAGAAATATTCTCATTTCAATTATTTAAAATCCCACAGACATTTGACTGGCATTTTCTATGCATTTTTTAATAGAAGTGCAAAGAGATTTGATGCGGTGTGTCATTCGGTAACTACTTCCGGGGAGATTAGCTTACTTTTAATCTAGTCATCAGAAAGATAATCTCAAAGACAAGAGAGTTTAGATTTCTTTTTTTTTTTAATTTTTTTAAAAAAATTTTTATATAATTTTTTTAAAGATTTTATTTATTTATTCATGAGAGACAGAGAGAGAGAGGCAGAAGGAGAAGCAGGCTCCCAAGGAGCAGAGAGCCCAATGCGGGACTCGATCCCAGGACCCTGGGATCATGACCTGAGCCGAAGGCAGACGCTTAACCATCTGAGCCACCCAGGCGCCCTAGATTTCTTTGACTGAATTTATGCCACTCAGTACTTTTTTTTTCAGTCAATGTGGTTACTGTGTGGTGTGACTACATACATTCATTAATGTTAAGTGAAGTTGTGCACACTATACATGGAAATTATGCATATAATTCAGATACAGTACATTTATTGAGGTGTTCCCGTTTGGAAGCAGGTGCGTTCATAATCAAATGAAGGGAAAAACGGAAACAATCTCAAAAGCATTTGTATTTTCTCCGTTTCATCGATCATAAAACCAGGGCTTTGGTCTAACTACCTTTAGAATCCCTCCCAGGATTTTCAGCAACCACTTTAGAACCAGCTACACGCTAAATTTAGAATTGCCGCCACAAAAGAACACCTTGGGTGAAGAATGGGCTGGGAAAAGCACACGGGAGAAGCCCCGGACTCGGGTCAGGGGGCGGTGGGAATGGTGATGTATCATCACCAAGTGACGGAAGAGTTCAAATTCTCGAGGCAGGTAATTTGTCACTCTAACTCCGGAGATCTCTGGATTCACAAACACAGAGCTTCTTCACCCTTCCACAGTCCCCTTCCACGCCAGAAGACAGCCTCACAGCCCTTCTGAGTGGTTCATTCGCGCCCCCCCTACCCCCGACCCCCCCCCCCCAATAAAACGTGTAGCGAAGTAGGCTTCGTCGCCCAAACACGACAGTGCAGCAGGTCTGGGAAGTCGGCCCCGCCCTTGCTGCCCTCTGCCTGTTTTGCAGGACCCACAAGTTGAAGCGGGAATTTTCCAAGGTGGAGGCCGGGACACTGCCTCAGCGCCCGAAGACTCTGCAGCGGCGCCTCTGTCGGGCTGGGCGACCCGCCCCCTACGGGCCTCGGCGGGCGAAGGGTCCCGTGCGCCCCGGCCGGCTTCCCGGGGCGGCTCTGTCACGCTCCCCTCCCCCGCGAGCCTCTCTGCGCCACGTGCGGCCGCTGCAGCTCCGGGACCGCGCCGAGTTGCGGGCGACGGCGGGACTCGGTGGGGGGGGGGGCGCGCTCGGCCCCCGCCCGACACCCGGGGCGAGCGCCACCGACCCGAGCCGCGGCGCCCGCCTCCGCCACTTTACCCCGAATCCCACTTCCGAAGGGGAGGCGGGAGGGCCAAGGTGGGCAGCTTCACTCCCACCGCGGGCGCCCCTGGGGTACCCAGCGGCGAGGGGGCGCGGGTCAGGAGAGGCGCGGGGGTGCAGCGCAGAGCGCCCGAAGCGCGCGCAGAGCCCGCCCGAGGGCGCCGCGGGCCGAGCGGGGGGAGGCGCCGGGGGCCGGAGGGGCGGGGACGGGCGGGGGCGGAGGCTCCCGCCTCCTCCTCTCGATCCTCCCCCTCCTCCCCCTCTTCCTCCTCCTCCTCGCCCTCCGATCGCCGCCACCGCCTCCACCGGCTGAGGAGCGGGGAGTCCGCGGCGCTGGCTTGGGGCTGCGGGATGGGGAGTTAGCGGCACGGCGGCGGCAGTGGCCGCAGCGCAACCGGCCGCCGCCCCCGGGTCTGTCCCGCCCCGGAGCCAGGCCCGCGGGCGGCGGCGACGCAAGAGCTGGGCAGGTGGATGCGGCTGGAAGATGGCGCCCTCGGGCCCGGGCAGCGTCAGGCGGCGGTGCCGGCGGGTGCTGTACTGGATCCCGGTGCTGTTCATCAGCCTTCTGCTTGGCTGGTCCTACTACGCCTACGCCATCCAGCTGTGCATAGGTGAGTGCGCGCCGCGCCCGCCGCCGCCCGCGCTCGGGCCCACCCCGCCGGCCCCCGGAGGGAGGGCAGGGACCTGTCAGCAGCCTCCCCGCTCGCCCCCCGCCCCCTACGCTGCCCCCTCGACGGTCCCGGGACGCCGAGAGCGCGCCGCACCCGGCGGCGCTTCCACTCGCCCCACCCGCGAGACCCCCTTGCGCCCCCCGGGCCGCCCGCCAGCTTCGCGTCCCGTGCCACCGCGGCCGAAAACGGCCCCCGGGCAGCCTCGCCCCACTCACACTACCCTTGCCTGCCCCTTACAACTCCGGTTACTGTGTCACCCCTACTCCATCGAGTACGCGGCCGAGCCACCCCCTGCGCTTCCGCTCTCCACCGCCACCGCAGCCACACCCCCTGCCTCGGCAGGACCGCGCCCGAGAGAGCTACGGTCTCCGCTGCCTGCAGCCTCGGCGGAGAAGTGAGGCCCGGGGAGGCTGCGCCGGAGGCTGGAGGGCTCCGGGCTGGGCCCAGGATTCCAGCTGCGCCAGACCCGCGCGGGGGTTGGTGGCCTCGGCCTTCGGTGTCAGAGCTAGCTTTTTCTGGTTGTCCTTAATCCACTTTCTGAAAATTTGTGACAGTGCTCTGTCTGGGGCGTTTTTGCTGCCTTTATGATTTGGGGATTGCCAGTTGTACACTTTCTGGTTATAAGGAGGCGAAGGTGGGTGAGCTATTGGGAAGTATTTTTGAAGACATATGCAATACGCAGGACTGTAATTTAGACGTTACACTACTTGGGGGTGGGGGGTGGGGAGAGGTTTTTTCATCCAGAGAGCCAAGTGGCTCAAGTCCAAGTTTTAGGCTCCTGCATTGGTGGGTAGGGTACTGTCAATGCTGAAGATTGAAAAAAAGGAAGAAGAAAAAGTTGAGTATGCACAATTAGGGAATACAATTATGTTCCTTAATGTAAGCAGGCTTCTACCTTCAGAGGTTTGTGAAGGCTGATCTGTGCTATCGGAAAAGGTGTTGTAACAGAAGATGACCTTTCTGCCGGTGACTTCTGAATGCTTTTTGTGTTTGGTGTTTCGCCTAAGAAAGTGTCTATGTTTTTGCCTTACCCAGCACTAGTTTGGGGTTGGACAAAGAGAAAGGTCAAACAGTGGCCTGTTTAGTTGAACCTTATCAACTAAAGTATTTCAAAACTTCAAGACTCAGACATAGAATCTTGTCTGAAGCCATCTTATCTCCAAATGTTGCTCCTTGAAAGAAACAGGTATCACAATAATATCCCAAAGTCATTACTGGCGTAACTTTCAAGAGAATTGAGACTAACATATAGTTTTTAAGTGTGATACTATTATATATTGAATTTAGAAATGATTTCAGGACAAAAGAAGTGACTCTGTTTTAGAAAAGGATTGGGTTGCACTAAAATCGTCAAGACATAAAATCTAAATGTTATATTCAGGTCATCCAAAATGTATAGAAAGAAGGTTTTCACGAACATGGTTTAATTTTTGTATTAATTGTTACTATCAAAACAGCTTGTCTCATTGAGATATACTGTATAGGTTACATAACTACTAGAAACCTTCATTGCATTGCATTGGTTCGCCCTCTTAAAAGCAGTGCACAGTTTCAATTACTGTAACTGGTACAAAAGAGAGAAGTCAGGGAAGGAGCTTATTTTCCTATATGATCACATTAAGCTAAGAAGCTTGGCCTGATACACTGTCTCATGTCCATTAGGATAGCACAGGAGGAAGCATATGAAGGCAGGCAGAGCTTTTCTTTCCTTGCATCTACCTCTGTCCCGGCTAAAGTGCAACATGGGAGGTCTTACTGTATTGGATAGATGGGTCATAGGGGAAGAATAAGTAGAAAATCACAATTATATTGGCATCATATTTTTATATATACATTCTGGAAATTTAAGATAAATCTAAAGTATGCATGAAATCTATATTACCATTTTAGTAAGTGAAGATTTGACTCTTTTTAAACTGCCTAAGTGACATGGCCTGTTATTATTTACCTGGTAATCAAAAGTGAATTCTTGTATCACCTCCTGTCACTGCCTATGTGGCCTGGTATGCCTGTCATGTTGAAAGCAATCGATAAATGGTCCTGAATAAACAAATAGATGATGCAGAGGTAAAAATCTCTGAGGTTGTCAGAAAGTAGTTTTTTCTATTTTTATTACTATAGAAACAGATAATAATCATATGAAAGTCTAGACTGTAGAGCCTAGAAGACAGAACAAATCGAAAATAAATTTCCTTCTAGAAAGTATAGCAGTTTAGGAGTGGTAAGCTCTAATAGTGTGGATAGATAGCCTTGGTTGAGTAGGAAGTGGAAATTAACCATACAGTTCCTTTGGAAGCCCTGGGAAAGATGGTGAATAGTATGACAGACACACAAAACCAGCCTCCTCTCCTTGTCATGAACAAAGCAAATGGGAATGCCAACCTTCCCTGCCTCCACCCCCAACCCCACCCACCCCCCACCAGCATTAATCACATCTCAGACTGCTCTGCCCTTTGTGCATTCTTTTTCTGTTGGAAGTTGCTATTTACAATCAGATTTTCCAAATTTCACCTACAAAACATTGGCCAGGGTTGGGGCTAGAGGGTGGTGGTAATTGGAAACTGAAATAGGAAACAGAATAGAATAGAATAGAATAAACAGGGTGATTTGCCCTAGTCCTCCTTTTACATCTGCTGTCAGCTGAGGATGACCCTGAATATAAATTACTTTGTGCCCTTTGCTGAATGAACTGCAATTTAGGAGTAGTGCTTATCCTGGTATCCTTGGAAACTGGAGATAATGATTCTCATTACAGTTAGTTTCTATATTTAACAATGTGAATGTGTGTGGCGCTCTCTAGTCACTTTTTCAGTTAGCATGATGTTTGCTTAGTGGTTGTATTTTATAAAATTATAAAGTCATATCTCTTCTTGGAATATGTGTATATAAAAATATATGGGATATACATATGTTGTGTGAGAGTCAAATGTTTTGGTTAAGTTTCCTTGCAGTCTACCAAAGAAAAGATAAAAGAGGTCTGCTAATACTTGTGAACAGTCAGAACATGTTTATATAGTTTGTTGATTAACTAGGATTTTTTATTCATATTTCTTCCTCCATCCTTCCCTCACTCTCCTCCTGCTTCTTTTGTGTCTTATCTGCCTTTTGATCCCTTTAGTTAATTTGAATTGGATAAATTCAAAGAGTAAAATTTGTAAGGTGGTACTTCAGGATGCTGAATTGGAATAACGGTAGTCTGCAGTCTCAGCCATGCTTGGTTCAATGGACATACTAGACATGGTTTATATGTTTTACAAATCCATTAATGGCAGTTACCTTGTTAACTTTGCTTGTTGAAGAAAGTAACTGGAGTTTTCCCTATTAAGTGCTAACATTCGAAGTTGTTTTAACTATTTTTCTACCTTTTTATTTTGTTATCATTTCAAATTTACAGAAAAGTTTCAAGAACAGTACAAGAAACCTCCACATACCCTCATTTTACCATTTTGGCTTCCTGTTTCTAAAATGTGCTACTTCTCCGCCCTCACTTTAGGCAGGTGCCATGAAACAGTTATTATTCAGTTGTGTACTCACATGGTTCTGAGTTTGCTTATGGCTTAAGTCATCTGAAGCAACCATGAAGCTTGACAAGCTTAGAGATTATCTAGGCTGACCCCCTCCCGCATTTGTAGATGAAGGTAAACTTTCAAGCTCTGTGTCCTTTCTCCAAATTAACCAATAAAGGTGTCAGCTGTGACTTCAGCTGCTGCGGTAGGAATGTTAAAATGTCTGTCTCCCTTTCCCTTCAAACCCCTCCCCAAATCTCTCTAGTCCAATGGGATTATTTAGCAAGTCCGTTAAACTTTGTTGCTGCTGAATACGAATCAACACAGCACTGAAAGTGAGCCTGCAATCTTTACAAAATGATTTCAGAGTTTTAGAATGATTTATAGTTTGGGCCATATAGTTAAAACCACTCATCTCTGCTGCTGTAGCAAAAAGGCAGTCACGGACAGTACCTTACCAGGTGGGTGTGACTGGGTTCCAGGGAAAGTTTATTTACAAAAATAGTCGGCAGGCCTGACTTGGCCCTTAGGCAATAGGTTGCTGACTCAGGAATATGTTAAGAAGTGAGCCCCTTAGAATACTGGTGTTACAGGTTTGCAAATCTTTATTAATAAACAATCCTCAGAAATGATTACAATCTCTTATATTCCACAGTGATTATTGAAGATGTTGAAGAATTAAACGAACTAGTTTACATACTTAGAGATCAATTTGGGAGAGATACAGTTACGTTTTCTTTCTTTTAAGCAAACATCCTTAAGGATAGAATATATAAAATCTCATACTTGGATACCATTAAGCAGTGATCCACCATTAATTCAAGGTCATTGCAAGCTCAAGGATGGAGACTGAACAGGGCTCTAAATTACCTTCCTTCATGAATTGAATTTGAACTAGACAGAGATAGAAGTGTGTTTTTGTTATTGGCAAATTATCATTTAAAAAAATTTCCGGGACATTAAAGCTTCTTTTGAAAAAACTACAGACAGATGATCTTGGGAATGCAAGTGTTACTATCCATAATTATTAAAGTAGTTTTAAGTGACATAGAAGGTACACCCATAGAAAACTGATGTAAATGTTTAATGCCTAAATGACTTAGAAATCATTTCTTGTTGACAATAATGATGCAGAATATATCAGTTCTGTGACTTCTGGACATTCTCAAATATTTTGAAGATTTTAAATTATATGAAAGAGGGATAAAAACTCAACATTTCATCAAATCTAAAATTCAAATGTATAAGTTATGATATGCTCCCAATTCTTGATCTGTGCTTCCTGCCATTTGACTTTAACATAAATGGTCCCTGGGAAAACAGGAGGAACGAAGACGCTGCTTAATGCTTTCTTGGTTCCATTCAGTGTGTCAGAGAATTCTTTTTCTTTTGATGTATTGGACAATGCAGCATTACTGTTTGCTATTAAATCCT